TATTGTTAAGTTTTATTACAAACAGATAAACTTATATTAGAATTCGTAAACCATAGTAAACAACCGTTAAATATAGTTTTACAGATGAAAACTATACTTAACGAATCGTTAACTATAGTTTACCGTTTGTAAACTATAGTTTACAGTCGATAAACCTAGTTTATCAATTGTGAAACTAGGTTTAGCTCATTTTTGTGAATTTGGCGTGCCATACATATTATATAATTCGTTTTCACTTCTGGATTATTGAACACAGAAGGATAGATGGTTTTGCTTTGTTTTTAACCTACTTCATAAAAGTTAATCAGCTATTTTGGCATATATTGATAACCATCTTAATCTCGAAATAATTGTTTCAATATGTTCGTTGAAAAATTACAAATAATAACAATAACGATAAATGTAAAGATACATGTAAAGTAAAGTTCTAACACCGTACTCAGTTCCTTGATGAATAATATTTATTATGTACAATAAATCAGAACCTTAGTCTTAGCTTTTGTTCCTTTTTTCACAACGTATCATCCATTTTGTCCTACTGGTGCTGTATGTTCATTTTCCGTAGCAAATCAAAAATTACATTAAAGTTTATCTATCATTATTTAAATTGTCTTGATGATTATAATGTTTTTTCTAGGTAGACTATTTTTAAGTCAGACTGAGACAGCCTGCATGACTTTTGTGATAAGTTTATTTGATTTAGAACGATAAAATTAAGTTGCATCCACATATTTTGACCAGCAGATTAAAATCAGCCTATTCTCGGAAAAGGGAGTGGGTGTATAAAACTTATACATATATCAAGATTTTGTTATCTCATGGACCGAAATTTACAACATATTAGAGAGCCCCTCCCTTTGCAATTTACTGCGCTCCTTTTCTTTAGCGCACAAGTATGGTGAACTTTATTTATCTGTTCCGTAAAAAATTAAATTAGAAGGTGCTCACTTGCACTTTGTAAAAATAAAGATTCAGTAAAAGTCTAATTAACATATATATGTATATAGCTGTCTAAGAGCTTTCTTTGGATACCAATTACATTGACCTTTTGACCTTGGAGATTTTTTTTACTTATTGAAAAAACTTTAACATTGGCTTATTTTCAAATTTCACAATAGTTTTCCAGTGAGAATACCCTACTTTTGTTACCAATTAATTAAATTTGCATTTAAGAAAAGTTTAATCTTTACTATTTTGCCATGCGGGGGGCATCTGTGTTTCACAAACACATCTTGTTATTTTTTTTATTTATTTATTTTTTTTTTTGATTTAACGTAATTTTTTTTTTTTTTGGGGGGGGGGGGGGTAAAAATTTCCACCTCTTTCATTGTCAAAATTTGCCAAACTTTTACAAGCTAAAAGTTGAAAAGAAGGAAAGATTAATTTTTCTATTAAAGAGTATTGGAACCTGATCGTCACTTGGTTTGATTTCTAAGAACAAGTGGAATATAATTTTTTAAGCAAACACTATAAGGAGGAAATTAAAAAGAAATTTTATTACTTGACAATTAAAGAATCTCTTTTCACTTTAAAGAGGGTCATTTTTCAATGGGGGTCAATTTTTATAGGACTAACATTTAAAATAATGACCCCTATGACACTTTTTCTACAAAAAAAGATTTTTTTCTACGGGTAGGGGGTCATTTCTTTGTCGTTGAAAAATAACCCCCGGTCATTATTCGATGGGGGTCATTATTTGTCTTTACACGGAACTGCTTTGTGACAGCTGTGGAACTGCTTTGGGACCGCTATGGGACTGTTCTGTGACTGCTGTGGGACTGCTCTATAAGAAAGCAGACCCAGCAGTTACTGGGACTGCTTCGTTTTATTACTTATGCATGAAAGAGTTTCTGAATGACATGGTAGTTCGAATTCTGCCCCCTGTGCATTCTAAATTTGCAGACTAATTAAGGACCCTCGGTCTGTAGTTGTTTTGTTCACTTTCATCAGAAGGGTATTTAAGACAAACAAAAAATGGATGCATGGAATGATATATATTTTTGACTGATTTTGATTTGAAAGACATAAATAATAAATCTCTGAAATAAAAAGAAATCGTTTTCCTTTGTGCTAAGATATGAGTTTTTGTTTTGCTTTCTATATCCTGTAATTCCATACAAAAATAAGCGCAATTTTTAACCTAATGACAATATCTTCTATAATTTTCCCATTATACTTGGTTTAAAACCTGAAACTAAATAATCAATTAATGCTGTTAATCATATACTCGAATTCTGGATAAACAATATTTAAACACTTATAAGAGTGAGATTTAAGAATTTTATTGAAAAAGGTTCATAAGTTCCGTGTTAAGTACCGTCTTAAGAAAAGGAGAATTCCATGCACCCCTTAAATAAAACCTAACGATTATAAAATGAAAAAAAATTCTACCATTCTTTCTTCACATCAGGGAACCAGTATGGATATTATTGGGGATTTATTCATGATTAATGAATTGATATAATTTCTAGTTTATAATCAAACATGTTATTAAAGGAGTACTTTTATTTAAAAAATAAACAATTAAAAACAAGCATTCTGAGAGTATTGCATAAGCAATACATGTCCCCTACCGCGTTCCCCTTTTTCTTCAGGATGTCATTTTATAATATGCAAATTAAAGTCATGTCCAATGTAAAACTGCAAAATTTTTAAGTTGTAAATGCCTTAAAACTAATAAAATAATCTACATTAAGACGAAAATTCCACTCATTTTTCCACCGTCTTTTCCTCGCTTTATATTTATGTCGACCATCGGAAGTTAGCGCAGTTCGAACCCCCGATCTTTATTAAACGATTATGATTGATTGATTGTATATTTTTTAACGTCACTCTCGAGAATTTTTCACTCATATGGAGACGCCACCACTTGCCGGTGGAGGGCTACAAATTTTGTCCTATGCTCGGCACTTAGGGCCTTTGAGCAGTGAGGGATCTTTTTCGTGCCAGCACCTACTGCGACACGGGGCCTCGGTTTATACGGTCTCATCCGAAGGAACGGTCTCAACGTCCCACAGTGGGATTCGAACCTGCGACGTAGGGATTGACTCCTTACTTCGCGACTCTAGAGCAGAAACTCTAACCACTGCGCCACGCGGGCGTTAAACGATTATGAAAAATATTCAAAATGCCATAATTCTGTACAAAATGAATGTAGCGAAGCGAAATTCAAACTTGATCAGTAACTCATTAAGATACACTCACATACCAAAATTCAGCTCAATATCTGCAAGCGTTTAGAAAAAAGGTGTGGAAAACCAAGTGGGACAGACTGACAGACAGACGGGGACAGACAGACAGACGGACGGACGGACGCAGAGCAAACCTATAGCCCCCCCCCCCCCCGGTTTCACCGGTAGGGGACTAATAATAGGATTGCGACTAACTAAGTATATTTCTCATTTATTTTACTTGTGTTTCTGACCGACTGTTGTAAAATAGTGTTCACAACTGAGGCTTCAATTAATCGTCTTTGGGTATAATAAGCAGAAAGAAAATGCAATTGGGTATCAGTGTTACACATCACTGATCACATTGTTCAACAATGGCACTAATTTCACTATATGTAATGCAAAAAAATCTAGCTCACTAGCGGAGTTCCCTATATACTGCCCGCTACACTTCCCTCCGCTCAGGGAAGCTTCGACCCGAAGCTTAGCATGAGTTCTCTCTGAGTGTTTGGACCTCTCCAGTTACAGCAACCAATGTCGTTCCCGGACACAAAGTCCTAGCCCTAGAGCTTCCTGAAGCAGGTCGAAACCTTTTCAGTTATGGCAACTCCTACCGTCTACGAACACAATGTCTGTAAATGGACTGTAAGTCCTAGCTCTAAGACTTCCTGAAGTCAGACACCAGACACCAGAGTCACTCATTTGCAATCAATTTTGTAAAGTGAAGCGGTCACACATCCAAGGGTTAAACAGGCTCGTCGCTGCTAAACTTGCCTGAAATAGAGGGAGACTCTACCGCATCACCAGAAAAGCTAGCTCACTGGCGAGGCATAATAAGTTCCCTATATACTGTCCGCTATATGTACATTACAAAAACATGTCATTCAATGTTAAAGTTGGCTAAATTTTTTCCAGAACTTTCAGAATATTTACTATATTTGTCATAATGCGTTCAAAGAATTCATAAGAAATGATTTAATAGATTTTTTAGAACCAGCATAACACACATTTTACTGCAAAAATAGCTTTGTTTGCAACCAGCATGGAGAATTTGAATCTAAAATCAACAAAACTTTATATAGTTCAGAAGGAAAACATTGATCAATTTCTTCTAAAAAAAAAACTTCCGCCACAAAATATAGTTCCTGGTTTAATCCTATTTGAATGAAATTTAATCGTTTGTTTTTCATTGAATATAGTTCATTTAGCCTTGTAGAATCCAGATTTAATAATAGAGCTTGAACTTATGCAGAATTTAAAAAAAATAGAGGTCCAGACCAAAATCTGCTCAAAAGCTCGACCTCTCTACATTTTTGGAGATTTAAAGCTGAACACGACTCGTAAATAGGCATACGCCATTTTCGATATCATTATATACGATATATCGACACTAGGGTATACTCGTTACATTTGTTACACTTGATTCTTTATTGTCACGGGTATTGGCGTGGAATGATGATCCGTGTTCGTGCTGCATTACATTTGTTTGCATTTTATTGCAGTTATGTGTATCTGTGTGTTCTGTATACTTCACTGACATGTACAACTATAACTGTAAATTTATTTGGTATCTTACTATCCTGCATTATACGAAGTATTATGTTATTATTCCTGCTACCAAGTGCTGTATAGCATAAGTCCGTCTTAACCGGTGTCGATTGATTACACTGAACAGTGACTATGTCATGCGCTTTTTAGACGGGTCTGCAGAGTGGGAAAAAAATGGCGGACACATTCCTTTTACGAATCGTGTTTAGCTTTAAGAACTAAAATGTTTTTGTTTTTGCTGAATATCATTGACATATAAAATGCCGTAAAACAAAATTCCAGGTGCTAAGGAGTGGGTCAATCGAGGAAAACACAAGGTATTTAACTTCACTTTGGACATAGTTGCTGGCACCGGAACTGATATTCCTGACGATTGGCTTCAGGTAAGAAAAATAAATTTTGTGCTCCTCTTTATTTAGAAATTTCCTAGTATTACCTTCAGTGTATATTTTACATCACTTTATTTTCGCTACACTTATTTTTGCTTATTAGATATTTCTGGGTTTTTTTAGCTACACAAAATTTATTATTGTTTCCTTACTAAAACGCGAGAATATAATGTTTGCGAGAAAAGAGATACGTGTCATTATGATTACACTAAAAGTTATTGCGAATAAAAAGTAATCATCGATTTATTTTTTAATCGACAAAATTTCTTTAGATGTGTTTTATAGCATGTTTGTCTCGCTACCGAATTTTACTGTATGAAGAAGTAAAAATGATAGATTTATTGAGTCAAAGCGCATTTGATAGTCACTTTCGCCTACTCTAGTAGTGATTTTAAAAATATATTGTTTAACCAAACTTTTGTCATACAATGTTAGTTTATTCTTCCATTAAAACAAATCACATAAAAATAATATTTAAATATTAATAGTTCCCTCAGTTGACAGATATAAAAATAGTTCACTTTATATGGAGAATATAGTAAATACTGAGGTACCCCCCTAAACAATGACAAACTGTAGCAAAAGACCACCCTTAACCAGAAAAACAACTTCTGAATAAGTTTATCTGGATATGTCTGCACTTCATTACATTTTAATAAAATTGGATAAAGGTGGTCTTCATATTGAAAATGTTGAAAATATTATTTAATTTTTCTTCACAAAATTATATTTAAAGATTAAACAGTCTGTCCTAAATTTGTCCACACAATCACAATAACTTTGTGGCGTAGTGGTATGATTGCTGGAATGAAGATTTAATGATCGTGAGTTCGAGTCTAACAATAATTTTATTTTTTTTCTGTGCTTTTTTCCTACATTTTTTTTTTATTATTTTGTTATATATGTATAAATAATGTAAGAGATATTTAATACAACATTACACTATCATGATAATTTCTCGGGAAAAAACAATCCTAAACTATTTTAATGACCCAAAGTCATGGCTGCTAGCTTGTTATATTTTTAATTTTTTCTAAATATCTTGTTTAGAATACGAGTATTGAACAAGTAAGATTATTGTCATGTAAAAAACTATGAAAATATAAAACTGGCCCACAAATGATTACATACATGTAATTTAATCTTGAATTGAAAAGGTGCATTTATCTATAAATAGAAACGGGTGATTTCCTTTTAAATACTTGAGTCGGCCGTGTCGGAGGTAAAGCAGCTTTGGCTCTTTCTTTAATCAATACAATTCTGTGGATCGGGGCAAAAAATGGAAATTCCAGAGATTGTCAGGTTCCTGAGAAGTGTAAGTATCCCCTGATGCTGGCCCTATGTACTTATATTTCAATTTTTAATTGTTTTGTCTGTGATAACTCTTTGAAAGTTAGTGGGGTTGATTTCTTGGAAATTCTGCCGGAATTTCGAACATAACTAGTTATTCAGCCAATCAAATGCCTCCATTTCTCGCGCAGAAATGATTCTTCATGGTGAAGAATTCTTTTATTTCTGAAAAATTTAAAGGTACTTGGTTACAGATTTGAAGTCAATATTTTCTCTATAATATTACGACTTATATAATTTAATAGCATTTCACACAAACATTAATTAAAAATCTTATTTCATTTAAAAGTTATTAAAACTTCAAATTTTATGGCGGGTTTGATTGACACATCCTTGCACTTTCACAAATTTTAACCTTATTCTTAATCCTTAGAAAAAGTGGCATTTTGTTGTGTATTAATGAGAAATATTACTTTTATCAAGAAAAATAATTTTATTCAGAGTAGAAATGTCAGAAAGCAAAACTTCTTCACAAGTATCGTCATTCCGAACTAAGAGTTGCGTACAGAGTTAAGCAAATCGAGCACACTCGAGTTATGTATACACAGTTTTTGTAAACTGGGCACGAGATCTGTTATTGTTTATGTTTAAAATTCATCGGGTGTGTTCAATCGTCACAGTCTGCTTACCACAACTGCACGGACTGACAATATATTGTGTGTTTGTTTTGCTGTCGAACATGTCTACTCTGAATTTTCGTAATTATAGTATTAATATTTTTTATTTATACAAAACGAGATTGCCACTTTCCCTAAAGATTAAGAATAAAATTAATTTGTGAAAGTGCAAGAATGTGTCAATCAAAACCGCAAAAAAAATTGAAATTTGAATTTTATACGAAATAAGATTTTTAATTAATTTTTGTGTGAAATGCTATTAAAATATATAAGTCGTAATATTATAGAGAAAATAATAACTTCAAATCTGTGTCCAAGTACCTTTAACGGTGTCTGATGAGTTCACTTGACAATTATATGGATGTGTCTTCATTGGTCTTTGTTCAGCACTCAAAAAGAAACAATTCAAAACCCACGTGCTGTTTACAATGATATTTAAACTTTCTAGGCCTTGCTACACTTTTTTTTCCACTGTATTCTTTTGTCGCCTGTTTTTGAATATAACTTTTTTTCACATTTCGGTACAACCATCGCCATGTATATCACAGCAAATCTTGTCTTTGAAGACATATTTAAGCACAATTATCATCAAATTTTTTATTTGATATTAGACAGCGATACCCACTCCTGCTGACTGGGGCCTTGTCATCTTAACATAATTATTTTTCAAAAATATAGATATTTCGATTCTTGTTCATGGGTTTTCATTAGTTCAAGCTATCGCGCAAGAATATAAAACGTTATGCGTAGTAAATGCGATACGGTGTCGGCACTATTTCTCTTCTTGACTTATGTTCCATTCTAAGACCTTTGGTCATCGTCACGGGGTGGTGCACTATGACCTAAAAAGCCTAGTGTTTACATCGATCAGTATGTCAAACCTGTACTGTCTTGGGGATTCTCCATAACAAAGATTTAACACTTCGCTCCACCCATACTTCATGACGAAGATTTCTCTTCATATGATCTTACTATTACGTAAACAGGCAAATCGATAGGTCAGGAATTAAGGAGGCCTAATACGCATGTATATCTTGTGCCTGTCTGTCTTTTTTGTCTGACGCTAAGGAGGCCAAATATGCATGTAAATCTCGTGCGTCTGTGTTTGTTTTTGACGTCAGTAGGCTAGGACTATAGAAATTGGGATGGGAGTCCTCGTGTAATTTATATCTATGTCTACATTTTAAAAATCTAAATCTACAATTTATTTCACAATAAAAAAGAAATATAAGGAATCACTGTCTAGTTATTATAGTATGCCAGGGAATCAACGAAAGTGAAAAACGTGGGATACTTTGTGCATTCGCCCGATATACAAATTATCTCTCGTTTTCCACTAACCTCTATGCTCTTGCATTTTATTCATACCCAGAGCATGTTCTTGGGTAAAAATAAGTTGAGAGACGTAAAAACAATTTGCAGACTATTGTTTTTTAAAGTTATCAATCTGAAACACTATAAATAACATTAATGGTAGCTTATCTCAGTGGCGTAGCATCGTTTTTGAAAGGGGGGGCCAGCTAGAGAAAAAAAAATGTTCACTTACCTGAAAAAGTTGACAAGCAAATAAAAAAAAGGAAGAAGTTGCCCAAAGCCCAAAATCCTATTTCATGAAATGTCAACTTCTTTCAGTAGCAATTCTAATACTACATTTTCGATACATCATTAAAATTCTAAAAGTGGGGGGGGGGGGGGGGGGGCTAACTAGGCTTTCGATTTACATTTCCTATAGTATAAGTAGGTTGGGAAAAAAGTGGGGGGGGGGGTCAGCCCCCCCCTGCCTCCCCCCCCCTGTTGCTACGCCCCTGTATCTATAAGGACGATTTTTAACATGTTTCAAAATAAGAGTACAAAATCACTCAATACCCCCTCCCTCGAAAATGTAGCATTTTTTAACATTTAACCATTTCTATCACGTTAAAAAACTAGATAGGTCCTAATGCAGAAATTTTACATTCTTTAAAATACAGTTTTTAACAAATGAGTCACTCTTTACATAAAAGATTGGTGGCCATTTTGGTTTTAAAATGGCTAATAACTTATATTGAAATATGTGGAGATAACAAACAGTATTCAAGCTCGAAACACCATTAAAATGTGTTATTTGTGCATTTCAATAAAAAACATAGTTAGTAACCACTAAATAATAAATGTTCACATTTGAAATAATTTTCAATAGTATTGAAATAATGATTTTAAAAGTGAATTAAATAATTCTTTTGATAGTTGCTGATAATTTTAATACTAAAACCACATTGCAAGACTTATTGAAATAACTTAATTATTGAAAATACAAGGATTAATGGTTTTTATGTTCTCCATTTTAAATTCATTTATTTGAGTGTACTATCAAAATTACGACTACATTCAAAACAAGAGACCCAGGGGCCACAGCGCTCACTTGAGCACATCGGCTAGGAAAAAGCACATATCAGATCAGAACTGAAAGTTTACTGAGGTGATGGTGGGGGGAGGGGGGGGGGGCGCTTGAATTTTAACTAGAATCTACACTACCTTAGGATGATTCCAAATAAATATCACTAATCACGGCTTTGAAGTACTTGAAAGGAAAATTTTAAATATATTGGTTTCCCAATATATCCCTATGTAAAACTTGGGTCGGCCATTTTGGCCCCACCCTAGCCCCAGGGGTCATGATTTGAACAAACCTGAATCTACACTACCTGAGGATAATTTCACATGAGTTTTATCTTTCCTGTCTCAATGGTTCTTGAGAAGAAGATTTTTAAAGATTTTTCCTATATATTCCTATGTAAAACTTGGGTCGGCCATTTTGGCCCCGCCCTAGCCCCGGGGGTCATGATTTGAACAAACTTCAATCAACACTACCTCAGGATGATTTCACATGAGTTTTATCTTTCCTGGCCCAGTGGTTCTTAAGAAGAAAATTTTTAAAAGATTTTCCCTATATATTCCTATGTAAAACTTGGGTTTTATCTTTCCTGTCTCAATGGTTCTTGAGAAGAAGATTTTTAAAGATTTTTCCTATATATTCCTATGTAAAACTTGGGTCGGCCATTTTGGCCCCGCCCTAGCCCCGGGGGTCATGATTTGAACAAACTTCAATCAACACTACCTCAGGATGATTTCACATGAATTTTATCTTTCCTGGCCCAGTGGTTCTTAAGAAGAAAATTTTTAAAAGATTTTCCCTATATATTCCTATGTAAAACTTGGGTCGGCCATTTTGGCCCCACCCTAGCCTGGGGGGTCAAGATTTGAACAAACTTGAGTCTACACTACCTGAGAATGATTCCACATGAGTTTCATCTTTCCTAACCCAGTGGTTCTTGAGAAGAAGATTTTTTAAAGATTTTTCCTATATATTCCTATGTAAAACTTGGGTCTTCCATTTAGGCCCCACCCTTTCCCCGGGGGTCCTGATTTGAACAAACTGGAATCTACACTACCTGAGGATGATTCCACATGAGTTTCATCTTTCCTGGCCCAGTGGTTCTGGAGAAGAAGATTTTTAAAGATTTTTTCTATATATTCCTATGTAAAACTTGGGTCGGCCATTTTGGCCCCACCCTTGCCCCGGGGGTTATCATTTGAACAAACTTGTACCTACACTACCAGAGGATGATTCCATATGAGTTTCATCTTTCCTGTCCCGGTGGTTCTTGAGAAGAAGATTTTTAAAGATTTTTCCTATATATTCCTATGTAAAACTTGGGTCTTCCATTTTGGCCCTACCCTTGCCCCGGGGGTCATCATTTGAACAAACTTGAATCTACACTACCTCAGGATGATTCCACATGAGTTTTATCTTTCCTAGCCCAGTGGTTCTGGAGAAGATTTTTACAGAATTTTCCTATATATTCATATGTTAAACTTGGGTCGGCCATTTTGGCCCCACCCTTGCCCCGGGGGTCATCATTTGAACAAACTTGAATCTACACTACCTGAGGATGCTTCCACATGAGTTTCATCTTTCCTGGTTCTGGAGAAGAAGATTTTTTAAAAATGCCATTAATTTTAAACAAATTCATTATTATCTCCCCTCGGAAAGGGCGTGGCCCTTCACTTGAAAAACTTGAATCCCCTTCATCCAAGGATACTTTGTGCCAAGTTTGGTTGAAATTGGCCCAGTGGTCCTTGAGAAGAAGATGAAAATGTGAAAAATTTACAACGACGACGACAACGACGACAACAACGACAACAACGACGACGACGACGATTGTGATCAGAAAAGCTCACTTGAGCCTTTGGCTCAGGTGAGCTAAAAAAGTTGAAAATACGTCTCAAAACACCGTACCACCACATTTCAATCACACCTACTATTTTAATAAACCTAATCATTTTAATATTAACTTCCCTAGAAACATTGTTTTCTAATGTCTTGACGAGAGGACATTGGCTTTACTATACGTATTTTTAGTATAGGTAATTCCACGAATATAAGCAACAATTTAGTTCTATACTGAATTCTTTTTATGAAAAATACTTCTTCCTTCTTTTTGATTCGGCCAGATTCAGCAGGAGCTTGCTTATAACATTTGCATACATGTTGAATTATAGGTCATTATTTGAATCACTATTGAAATATTTATTTTAAACGTAAACATCAGTTCAATAGTGGTTGCCACTTATGTCAATTGGTATTGAAATGCACTCTCGACCACTACTGAAATAATTTTCTCAATAATGCTCGTATTTCAATAGTAAATACATACTATGTTTGTAATTGAAATGCACACTCAACCACTATTGAAAGAATCATTTCAATAGTGGTCATATTTCAATAATGGTTGCAAACTATGTTTGTTATTGAAATATACTCTCAACCATTATTAAAAGAATTATTTCAATAGTGGTTATTACCTATGTTTGTTATTGAAATGCACTCTCAACCACTGTTGATATAATTATTTCAATAGTGGTTGTATTTCAATAGTGGTTATTACCTATGTTTGCTATTGAAATGCACTCTCAACCACTATTAATATACTTATTTCAATAGTAGTTGTATTTCAATAGTGTTTACTAACGTTGTTTGTTATTGAAATGCACTCTCAACCACTATTGATATAATTATTTCAATAGTGGTCGTTATTTCAATAGTGGTTGCAACACCGTATTTTCTGACAAGGTCATTGTACTTACAAAATAATGCCTTGAAAAGAGACTACTGATATTCTTTCTTCATCAACTTGTTTGTCAGTACTTTGTTTTAGAAATTGATCTTATATAGATCATACTCTTGCAAGGTGAATCAGCTGAGAGATATAAACCTCGTATGTAGCTGATAAGGGTAAATTGCTGCAGAAGTAAGAGAGGTTGAGGAATGAAATTAAAAGGCATCCCTTTTATCCTAAAACTTGGCTGTTAGATGACTATTAACGTCCTTTTCAAGACAAATATCGAAAAATGAAATGTTATCTTTCATTTCAAACTCGCTGGAATATTCGGTGTAGAAATAGAAGCATAAGAATGAAATTACAATTGTAACAATTTTTAACTGACCATACGCTATCGTTCATGTATGTCTCAATGTCGAGGTGAAGGTCACAGCAAGTTTTTCATCTTTTAATATAAATGATTTTGAACAAATTCTGCTTCATATGAATACAAAAATAGGTCTGCTTATAACGGGGCGCAAATGGTTTCAATTGGAATAACGATAGACTGTTGAAAGACTATGTACTTGTTGTGCACCGTATGCACAAGGGGTATTCAATAAATAATGTCCTCGGTGCTCCGGAAGAAACCAAAAAAATCTTTTTTCAATGGTTTAGTCTTAATGATTTCAAGGAAATTTTCTCTAACAATTAAAACACATGTCTGTAACATTTTTATCCAATTTCCGTTTGTTTTTAAACCACATTTTTGAGTATGGCCCTTCGTATCCTAGAATATGGCAGATCCTATTATTTTCTGGACTTTCTTCTTTCTGTAAGGTATTTTTTCAAGTTTGGTAAATGAAGCAAGTCAAAGAGTGAAAGATCTGCAAAAATAGTGTTGCATGATGTGATAAAACATTAACTATCTATTTATCCCCAAACTCCTTTACTCTTCATGGCGTGTGGGATTTGATGCTGAAGTTTAATGTTGTGGATTCTTTATTCCTGTTCCATCCTCTCACAAACCTTTCGATTTTTTGTAAAAAATTTGCTTTCTCCAGAAATTGAATTGCCTCCCCAAATGAAAATTTGAATACCAAGTCCACTATAATAATTAACAAAATGGCATATTTAACTGTTTTTGTGCTTTTGTAATTCTTAGCTCTTCTCTTACCTTGACTATTTTTGTCAATTGCATCTTATTGTAAATTTCTATTACGGGGTAAAAGCAATGGGTTCAAGATCTTTTTTTAATTTTCATACCAACGTGGATGACTACGATTTTGATTTTTAAAAAATAATTGTTAAGATTGATTGATTGATTGTATACTGTTTAACGTCCCTCTCCAGAATATTTCACTGATATGGAGACGTCACCATTGCTGGTGAAGGGCTGCAAATTTAGGCCTATGCTCGGCACTTACGGCCTTTGAGCAGGGAGGGATCTTTATCGTGCCACACCTGCTGTGACACGAGGCCTCGGTTTATACTGTCTCATCCGAAGGACCGCCCCATTTAGTCGCCTTTTACGACAAGCAAGGCGGTACTGGAGACCTATTCTAACCCGGATCCCCACGGGGTTAATTGTTAAGATATTTCCGTCTTTTTCACTCATTTTTCAAAACATGGGATGATACTAAGCCTTTTCACTGTCAAATGTTTCTTTAAAATAGTATAACTACATATACCCCAAAATGATGCCTATCAATTTTGCTATGTATCTTAAAGTCATTCAAAAATCATTATTGTTAATTTATTGAATTTTGGCAAACAGTAGGTTAGTGGTGGTAAGTCCTTGTCGCCAAGGACGGTACCCATTTTCGATGCCCTTTATACCATTTTTGTTCACTGAAATTCACCTGTTCATGTGTCCATAAAACTGACATTGGTTGATGTAAATATCACATATTTCAGTGAATATTGTTTGGGGATTCTTAACGAGTTTTACAGCAGCTTTAATAAACCGTTTAATTTCACTCTAGTTTACCGGTTCTTTTCCATTCATCTTTAAAACTGAACACGACTCGTAAATAGGCATATACCATTTTCGATATCATTATCTACGATACACCAACACTATGGTAAACTCGTCGCATTATTTACACCTGGGTGCTTTACAGCTGTATTGTCACGAGTATCAGCGTGGAATGGCGACCCGTGTTCGTACTGTTTCACTTGCATTACCTTAGTTTACATTTTATTGCAGTTATGTGTATCTGTGTTGTTTGTATTTGGACTGACCAGTACAGTGTACAACTAAAATTGTAAATTTATTTTGTACATGTATATTACTTTCCTGCATTTGACGAAGTATTACGTTATTATTCTATCTACTGAGTCCTGTTTAGCATAAGTCCGTCTACACCGGTGTCGACTTATTACATTGAACAGTGACAAAATCGCGTCAACAGAGGAGCGAGAAGCGGGAACAAAAATGGCGGACACTTTCCTTTTTACGAATCGTGTTCAGCTTTAATGCAGTGTCTCAAAAAGCCCTTGTTTTCCAGCTTCTCACAATGAAAATATGTAATGGAAGTAGTCACATTAACCGTAATCAATTCATTTAATATTGAAGCATGAGAGAAAGTCAAGTTAAATGTCATATGATTTCTCTGTCGTATGTCATAGAGCTCAAGACATTATTTATTAAACAACCGTCGTATTCGATTTTTGGCGTCCTGTTAATATGCTTGATTTAATAAATATCGTCAATCTCATCAATTTTGATATTTAATAAAATGGAACTCTATAAAATTTTGTTCTCACTTGTTAAAAAAATGTGAACGAAAAACATTAAAAAACAAACAACAATAAGGACACATAAAACTGTAAAAGCTTATCATAAAATACAGAGAAACAAATAATTATTTTTAAATCGAAGAATATGATCAAAACTTTTTTCTAAATATGTAAATTAATACAATCGTTTCTAATAGGATGACAATGCAAAAAATCCTGAAAAATCGGAGCCTTTCGACAGTAAGCAGGATCATACAAGTTCAAGTGGGGAACCTGAGAGTATGACATCAAAAATCCCCCTAGCAAGTGGACCTCAGACTGCAACATTCGAACAAAATTCTTCAAAATCTGGCGTGCCACCAATGTACTATCCGACTTATCCAAGTATGCCTATGGCAGACGCCATGGAACCACCTTCCTATGATAGCCATAATTTCCAGTATGGTTCTCAATCTATGCAAACACCCCAATCCGCCCAGATACATGTATTGTACAGCAAAGAAGAAAAACCGAGCTTCGATAAATGTCCTGTGAAAACACCTGCAGAAGGTTTGTCGAGTACATATACGAAAATAATTGAACAATTTTTACAAGGTTATGATTTACGGTCAAAATGAATGAAGATTTCTTAATTTGATTTTAAAAAAGCAGCATTGTGTGTAAGGCTTATCCAAACGTTTTTCTATGTTTAGCGTCCGTGTGAGCGTTGATTTTTTGATACTAAATATCAGAACAAAAATTAAAAGTTGTGAAATTGATCATTCTGGACAAATTATTTAAATAGAGTAATTTTCACTCATGATCTGTGTACAAAAATGTCATAATAGGCAAATTCTAAGCAGCTAATACCTTCATTAAACTAAAAAATATGACATTGTATCATTTCAAGAAAAAAATATGTTGATGAAACCAATCCTTTCAATGAAATCGTTTTCATTACTATTCACGTATGTTTTATTTTTTTGGCATTGTGCTTTTTGTGAATAGGTAGGTACATTTTTGATAGCAGAGTTGTCGCTAAACAGGGAATAACGAGTAATAATAACTGGACAGTTTTTATATTTTAACACGATTAGTATTGTCAATTTCACGCTCTAATGGTGTACGTTCAATCGTTTAAGATAATTTATCCAACCAGAAGAATATTCAGGAAGAAAAACAGACTTCTGATGCATATGACAGTATTAAGATTTGCAATCTGCCAGGTAGTATTACCGATGACTCTATTTCCGATTATTTTGAAAACGTGAAAAGAAGTGGAGGTGGACCTGTCTCTAAAGTTATATACGACGAGGAGAGAAAAACAGCCTTTGTTACGTTTGAGGATCCAAATGGTAAGTTCTTCCTTTTAATCATGATGTTTAAAAAGCATTCAGTAAACTTCATTGAACTGTATGTGAAAAAC